GTTCCTTTAAATCAGAGCTAGATAAGATTTTAACAACTCTGAGCTATTAGTTAAGTTCTCCCCAAACGAGCTTGATGGGCCGAATGGCCCCCTCTCGTTTGTAAATTTCTTTTGTTCTTATGTACCCTACCCCACAACCCAGATATGAAGAATACTAGATATTTTTGTCACATGTAGGGAACAACCAGTGCTTGCCAGGAAATCCTGAAGCTCCTTTAATGTTGCTATAGGCCTCTAGGTGGCCTCCGGGACCAGTTTTGTCCTTGCCTTCTCATCAATCTTGGAGGGACTTCCTGATCTTAGCAGTGTCACTTTTGAGCCATATTTTCACCACTTGTTGATGACTGTCTTCACTGTGCTCTATGGGATGTTTAATGCTTTGGATACTTCTTCGTACCCCTCTCCCGACTGATACCTTTTAATGATGAGATCCCGTCCATATTTTGAAAGTTCTATGTGGACCATGGCTTTTGGAGTATGATGCAACGAAGTAGATATGAGAATAATCCAGGAACAGACAAACTTTATCTGAGGTCAATCAGAGTCACTTTAAGGCCAGTTGTATACTGACTACATGATTCTGAACAGAGCCACATCCATGATTATTGAAGGGTGTGCACAATTATGCAGCCAGTTTTGAATATTTTTCATTCATTTTTTTACAATAAACAATGTCTCATTTGTTTTCTTTTTTGTATGAATTGCAATTTTGAAATAAAGGTGGAACAAGATCTGACTTGATGTCTCTTGGTTTAATTTTTTAATCATACATTTTAGCAAGACTGTAAAGACTTTTTATATCCACTGTGTATCTTTATATCCATTGTGAATCTTTCCTTGACAATGTTTATATATGCTGTAAGGCATTGTTTATGGCTCTAGGAAATTAATAAATGAAATGGTGATTTTTCATTATCATAACCTACCAAAGGTGCAATCTCATTTAAAACATTAACCTGGACAGATTGGTGCTTGATATCTGCTGATAAATAAAACTCTATTAACCTGAATATTTTTTTCCATCAGAAAACATCAGTGTTATACTGTACTAGTGGTTGAGGGTGGCTAAAATAATGACAAGTGAAAAAGATAGTACATTTCACAATGATTTTTTTACCAAAAAGACAGAACATGTAAATAAATGTAAAATGTAATTTATAATACATTGGTACCTCAGAACTTGAATTTAATCCATTCAGAACTCCGGATCGAATCCTAAAGTGTTCGAGTTGTGATCAAATTTTCCCCGTAAGCAATAATGGAAAACCAATTAATTGGTTCCCGGCCCCAAAAAATTACACCTAAATGTGTTTTTTTTTTTTTTTTTTTTTTTAAGCATTTAAACACAAAATGAACTGGATAAAATAAGAGCATATACTGTACTAAACACATCTAAGCACATTTATCAAAACAGTAATTTGTAAAATAATAAAATAAACGTATCCAAACAATGTGTCCTGCCCCGATCGTCCGCTCCTTCCATGTGCCACGCCCCCTCGTTATCTCCATGTGATCAGCTGTTTCTGGTTGTTGTCATTAGTCCTCTGTATTTCCTCCGCGTTTCAGTTTGTTTCCCCAGTCCGGTCATTGTATTGTCCATCTGCATTTTGCCTGCCTTACCTGTAATTAAACCCTGTATTCCCCGATACCCTGACGTCTGCGCCTTTGTCTCCGTTCTGTCCCTGCTCGGCAGGACAATATTATTATAGTCAAATGTATTAATGTTTTATTATTAATATTAAATGAATTAATAAAATCTATTTTTAAATGTATTTTATTATATAATAATAATTACTGCTACTGTCTGATTGTCTAAATGTATTTTTACTGTCTAAATATATGTATTCAGCTAGTGTAAACATGCACGATGCTATCACAGCGAATGCGAGGCTGAGACTGAAGTGTTACCCTTTGTTTCCGCTGAGAGACATGCCATGTGACTCATTTCCCTGTTATCTTAGGTCGGCGTTCACGGTTTGACTTCTGAGATTCAGATCGAGTTCTACCTCATTTTTTTTCTAACTGGTTGGTTCGACTTTTAAGAAATTCGAGTTCTATTGAGTTCGAGAACTGAGGTACCACTGTAATGAGTTTCTTGTTTTATAATTCACCCTCAAAATTAGAAGTAGCTCCACCTCCTAAACCTTTATGGACCAGCTGCCTTTAATACAAAGGTTTGTCAGGCAGCACCATGTGAAAAATGCTGATCTTGGATAAGCCATAAACTAGTCTGGACTGTGACGGCACAACACCTGGCTCATTGGTTCCCATCTCAGTCCACTTGTGGACCAGATCCTTCTGCTCACGAACTGGCCTCTGAAGGGTCCAGAGCAAGCACAATGTCAAATATCCACTCTCTTATTCATATCACCATAACCACTAAATACTTTATCCTAACAGCACAACCACTAAAACCTTTATCCTAAATCACTGGTGGAACAAAGACCACCTACATGCTCAACATTTAAGTTACATAAACCATATCAACAAGGTGTACAACAGCTTGGTGTGACTCAGGCCATCCTCATACTTTATGTGACTATAGAAACTGAACGTACCTTGCGAGCTAATGGGACCCCAAGCTCTGTGCACATGCTGTTTAAGCTTTTTAGTATCCGCTTTTCCCAGCATGCCTGCAGTAAAAATAAATATTCTAAGAACATTTGTTATTGATGGATATATCACAAAAGAACATCAATGTTGGCTCCCCAGAGTATTCCAACTACTGATGCTTACCTGGGCTTTGCGCATGTAAGACAAAGGCTCCTTTGTGTGCTCAGGAGGGGCAACAGTATGGCTGGGAGGGGGCAGACTAAAAGAAGCAAAAAACACAATAAGTATCTCCTTCTTACAGAGCATAACCCGATCACATGGGGTTGTTTGTTTAATTCAAACCAGGAATACTTTACCTTCATGTAATTATCATTTTAAGTACAAGCATATTGTTTACATAAAACATGTGCACTATTTGTAACACTTGGTAGTATTTAGTTTCAGTTTTATCATAGATTGATTACCACATTGTTAGTGGATAAGGCTGAGCATCATGTAATTTTTTTCTTCATATGAGTCATACCCCCACATGAATACTATGCTGATTAATAAATCACACTTTATTGACACCTGTTTTAAAAGACCTCTTCCAGTCATCAATCTTCTAAGAGCTTATGCTGGACAGGGTCAGGGGGGCAGGGAGCCTATCCCAGGCAGCACAGGTGACAAGGAAGCAGTAAATCATGGACAAAATGCTAGTCACAGATAGTAGTGGGCAATATGACAATTTATTATGACCAGTTACAGAGTTATAGCATGAATTGTGATGCAGCACTACTTAACACTATTATTGCAGTGACAGAACAAATGAGCAAGTACCTATCATATGATGCCTGCATGTTCAGAGACTGCAACAGTACTACAACAAAGCCAGACTGATGTGAAACAAAGCAACTTCAGTCTGCATAACACCACAGAGCTGCCTGAATATCTCACTTCCTTGCCAATTATCTCTCAGTGTATCTCAACTTAGTGACTAGAACTAAATATTTAATTATTCTTTTCTAACCACATAGCGAACTTGTTTTTTAAAAAAGCTAAAAATAGTGTACTTGTGTCACATGGCAAACAATACATGTTTCAAAGATGGGTTGGTCACATCATCAAATGTTTGCGGCAAATTCAATTTAAATTAAAAAATTTAAGATCAAATTTTGAATCAATTGAAAATTTAAATTAAATTGAAATCTCAAACTGAATTGGAATTTCAGGCCCTTTCGTGCATTCCCCATGCGCATCAATGAGCCTTGAGCATCCATGACCTCATGTAACAACATATTATGTAATAACGTCTCATTATGTAATAATGATAGAATGCAGCAAATTGAACGATGAAAATGATGATGATGATAACAGGGTAATGTTTCAATATAAAATTATAATGTAGTCTACAAAGTTGTTACATTTTGTGAAGTTATTACATGATGCTGCATTTATTGCATAATGTGTGGTCATACCCCACCACTGATTCACCAGTTGGTCTTCATTTGACCACTGTGTATGAGGAACACCCCACAAGACCCTACATTTTGGAGATGCTCTGTCTTACTTGTCTAGCCATCACAATTTGGCCCTTGTAAAAGTTGCTCAGACCCTTTCGCATTTTTCCTGCTTCCAACACATCAAGTTCAAGAACTGACTGTTCACTTGTCTAGCATATAATTGCTCCCTTGACATGTGTCATTTGTAATGAGATAATCTTTGTACATAAAATAAGAACATAAAAAATTTACAAACGAGAGGAGGCCATTCACCCCATCAAGCTCGTTTGGGGAGAACTTAATAGTTCAGAGTTGTTAAAATCTTATCTAGCTCTGATTTAAAGGAACCCAGGGTTTTAGCCTGCACTACTTGAACAGGAAGACTATTCCATACTCTAACTACGCACTGTTTAAAGAAGTGTTTTCTCAAATTCAGTTTAAAATGTTCTCCCGCTAATTTCCACTTATGGCCAGGAGTTCTAGTATTTAAACTAATATTAAAGTAGCCATTTGGCTGAACAGCATCCAGACCTGTTAGAATCATATATACCTGGATTAACGTCCCCCCTTACTCTCCTTTGCGCAAGGCTGAACAGATTCAGCTCAGCTAACCTCTCCTCATAAGACATTCCTCTAAGACCAGGAATCATTCTCGTAGCCCCACGTTGAACCTTTTCCAAGGCAGCACCTCCCTTGACTTAAACTCCACACACCTAGAGATTAGGGATGGTACGGTTCATGAAAAAAAACCGAACCGTTCGGTTCGGAGCATGCATGCGTCGCACGGTTCGACGGTTCATGACATGTGCAATGTAGCCTCGTGCCCTGTATGTGACGTCAGTGTGTTTCCCTTTCGCGCGAAAGAATAGGCTATATGCACAGAGCGTTGTGACGTAGTTCCGGTAAAAGTTCAGCCAGCTAAGTAATTTCCGGTAGCCTTTCGTTTACTGCGTTTAGCTCGTGTTTTCGGCGTTACCACCGTCTCTGAAGAAAACGTTTAAGTTTCAGCCAACCGATAGCACAACATCTGAACACTGTTGTGCGCCTTTGTTGTGTGACTTTATTTAATGTGCGGTTAGGCACTTTGTTAAAGAAAATTAAGTTATCTGTGACAAAGCACTCCAGTGAGTGTCATGCCTCGATCGTCCGCTCTTTCCGTGTGCCACGCCCCCTCGTTAACCCTGTGTGGATTCCCCGTGTTTACCAGCTGTTCCTGATTGTTGTCAAATTTGTCATTACTCCATTGTATTTAGTCCGCGTTTCCGTTTCTTTCTCCAGTCCGGTCATTATATTGCAATTCTGCTTTACCGCTCGTCTGTGTTCCTTTTGCTTATTAAACCCCGCATTCCCCCGATCCTAGGTCTCCTCGCCTCTGCTTCCCCGGTCAGCGTTGTAACAGTGAGCCTGCTTCCATGCTGCAATGTGAACATTTGCCATGTTCCTAAAAATTCTGTTTATTGCAGTGTCTGACCACACAGACCTACAGGCTATTGCCAGATGATCATACTAGACATATCAACTGGACATATTTTGAACTATTACAGATTGATGTCTTGTACATACACAGAAACTGGATTTTATCGATTACTCAAGAACATTCAATATAATTAATACAAAATTTTTTCACGTTATATATATATTTATATATATAACGAACCGAATCAGGCTTAATCAAGATAGGTGATCTATCATTTTAACGATCCCCAATTAAATTAACCCCGTGGACCGGACAAATACAAAACGAATGATTAAACATTATATGCGTCTCTTTTTGTATGTTTTCTAAATAAGACCGCGTGCCCATACCCAACTGTAATAGCGATTAAAGCGATCTATTCTTTTAGCATTTATGTTAAGGCAAGACTTTTATTTTATTACTGTTCTGGGATTAATAATGTTTAATAATTTTAATAATGTGCTTTAAGTCAAGTCAAATTCAGTTTATGCATGATTACATGATATAGCTTTTTTAATACTGTATCCTAAATTGTGGATAATTAAGCTATATATCATATGCTGAAGTACATTTCTGGAGTGTTAAAGATTAAAAGAAAAAATAACAAGAACCGTACAGAACTGAAAACCGTGACCCTAAAACCGTGATACAAACCGAACCGTGGGTTTTGTGAACCGTGCCACCCCTACTAGAGATATAACCCAACATCCTACTGGCCTTTTTAATTGCTTCCCCACACTGGCGAGAGTGGGAAATGGAAGCATCAACATACACACCGAGGTCTTTCTCATAATCAGCTACCTTTATTTCAGTGGAAACCCATAAAATATCTGTACTTTATAATTCTGCTCCCTGCATGAATTACCTTACATTTATCTACATTAAATTTCATCTGCCAGGTATCAGCCCAGTCGCTAATTAAATCAAGATCCCGTTGTAGCCTCTGTGCTGCTAGTTTAGTATCTGCTACACCACCCACCTTAGCGTCATCTGCAAATTTAACCAGTTTACTGTATGTATTGGTGTCAATATCATTAATGTAAATTAGGAACAATAGTGGTCCTAAAATTGAACCCTGCGGTACTCCACTATGAACGCAGACCCACTGCGACATTGTGCCTCTAATAACTACTCACTGCTTCCTGTCTGTTAACCAGTTTTTGATCCAAGCTGCTACAGTTCCTAAAATCCCTGCAGCTTTGAGCTTAAGCAAGAGCTGTTTGTGGGGGAAAACATCAAAGGCCTTCTGGAAATCTACGTAGATCACGTCGTAGGCCTTTTTGAGATCATGGAACATACTCACACATACTATGGGCAATTTCTTTTTTATAAGATCAATATATTTCAATCTGCAGTACTTTTTACTTTTGGTATTTAAGTACTTTTAAAACCAAACACTGACTAGTATTTCACTGGATGACTTTTATTTGAAAACATTTTAGTGTGGTATCTATACTTTCTCTACCTTTCCAAAATATCTGTATTAAAAGTAGAGATGCACTGATCCGAATATCCACACCTATTTGACGGATCTGGTTTCGGCCATGCGTGACCAATCCATGTCCTATACTTACTTATTTTTAAGTTATTTTAAGTTTTTGGCAATCTCTAAAAAGACAGCTCCTATTTCGTGTTAAATCTATTTGAACAATCAATCGCACGATAGCTCTTTCCCATTTTACATGTGTTTTTTTGCGGCATTCAAATCGAACGCTAATGCTGCCCCTCAGTCTTTTTACTACTCAGTGGGTGTAAGTACAGTGACTTCCGCCTGCTGTGATGTCATGCACATACCCTTCACAGTACGAGGAGCGTAAGATAAGTATTTTACGCTTTTAACAGAAACCAGTAGTACAGAGATTTGCAATCTTTGTAAAATAAAGTTTTGAGAGGTGGGAATAGCGTTTAATGGACAATCCCACTTAAGAAAGCGAATGCAACTGGGAGACAAAAGATAATCAGGCTCACCAGATCCGGGCCTGCCTGTGTTTGTTCTTTCATGTTCCACCACTGAGTAGGACTAGGGATAAGTAACACGATCAAATTTCCCAATGAGAAAAATTTCACTTTTAATCCTGAAATTAATTTTACTGAATTCCCAATGATGCAATGATTAATTTCACCAACCAGCGAGACTGCTACAGATAAATTTTGCTGAGTGGGGGTGGAGGGAGGCCTGATCAATTTTGCCAGTATTCCTACAGACTGCCACAGTGGCATAAAAAAAAAATCATACACTTTTTTCAAATAAAAACATCGAATAAACTTTTTATTAGAAAATCATCGTGACACCTCCCAATTATTTGGCACCCTAAAGTTTGACAACCACTGACCTGTTCAACGTTCCTGAGAATTTCCAAAAAAAAGAAGAAATTAAAGTGAAATGTTTCTTTATTTGCCATTTGCACAAGTACAGGTACACTGGAAGGTATCCCTTCACTTAACCCATCTTGCATTAAATGCAACACATAGGTAGGTGTGAGCCAGAGTGGAGCGGAGCGGGCGAAATTTGGTCAGAGCGTGGAGCGGTATTTTAATTAAGGCTGGAGCGGTCGCTCTGTCTCCAATTTCGCTCCGATACCGCTCACACTACGACTCCGAGGCGTGCCCAAATCTACCCAGAATTCATCTGTACAATTATCAAGACTGTTACACAAATTGGCCGAGAAGGAATTCGTAAAGTATTTCACAACTGATAAATCATAAAACTGTACTATTCTTATCAGATGTATAGATGACAATAATGTAGAGCAAGAACAACAATGTGGTGAAAGATTCACTTTGGAATCACTTTTCTCAGAAACATGAGTGTGCCACACGAACAGGCTGAAGCCAGAGCAAAACATGAGCAAGTTTAATATGGTTGTAGCATATCAAGTCTATAAAGTAAATTAAAGTATAATAGCCTATAAAGTAAATATTGGAAATCAAATAAATTAGTTTTGTCATTCAAACGTAGGTCTAATAGGATTTTTTAAATTTTACATAACGCTGTCAGTGAAATTTTATTCTATGGAGAGACACAGCAGCAGCATCAGCAGAAAAAATTGAGGAATTTAAAACATTGATGCTTAGCCTGTATATTCTTTAGGCTATTAAGCCCACTGATTCCTTTATTTTCAAGCCTATTTTTGTATGGAATGCCATTGCCAAACCTGTCCGTTGTTGCCTATATGTTGCTTAAAAATAAATATTTTCTGTTCTGAGTGGCAATGTTGCCATTGCTCATATTTCTTTATGATATAAGGCTTCGGTTTAAGGTGACATTTGTTAGGCATGCAGATTATTTGTCCCTCTTTAAACTGGAGCGAGCATGGAGCGATTTGACTGGAGCGGGAGGAAATTTTAGTGGAGCGAGGAGCGGTGTTGAGCGGAGCGGCTTAGTGCAAATTAGAGCGGAGGAGTGGGCGGAGCCAACAGCCGGAAATTCTCACCGCTTCACTCCGATCACATGCTCTGGTGTGAGCAAGCTTGGGGGACAGGGGGTCACAGCAAAGGGTCAGTCACCATGCAGCATCACTGTAGCTGAGGGTTAAGGGCCTTGCTCATGGACCCACAAACATGTGACTATTCTGCTTAGGCTTGAATCAGTGATCTTCCAACCGCAGTCACCAAGACTTAGCCTGCTGAACCACTCGTCGATCTATGAAATACTTTTAGATCTACTGTGTTCACAAGATCAAGTGTTTACTGCAGCTGCTCTTTCCTCCCTTTGCTGCCACCTATCACTTTTCATGCTTCACCTTTTGGGGGGGGGGGGGAATAAAATCAGATGTAGAGCTTATTCACAAAATTCTTTTGCAAAGTAGTGACTCTCCCTGCTGGCCCCTGGAGGATGGGCTACCCCTTTGAGTCTGGTCCCTCCCAAGGTTTCTTCCCTCTAGGGAGTCTTTCATTGCCACTGTCGCCTATGGCTTACTTACTGGGGGCTTTGAGACGGGGATGATGTAAAACGTTTTGAGACGATGTAATGTTGTGATAACGGGCTATACAAAAATAATTTTTTGTTGTTGATAAGATTAAATTCAAGATCAAAAAACCATCAAATACTTTTTCAGTTATGTTCACAAGCTGAAATGTCTGAGGTCAATTTTCAGACAAGTCTTTATTCACCAAATACAAAAAGTAATTCAGGTTGGTAGAACTGGTGGCATGATGTACCAATTAAACATACAGATAAACAAATAAACAATGCGATTGGTCTCAAAATTTAATCAAGTCCAGATCTTCACCCATACAATATATTTGGAATTATCAGACTAACTTTTCTTTCCATTTCAGAGTTTTGGTGAACAGTAAAATTATACACTGCCACCCCAGTCACCAGATTTTATCCTAGCAAAATGTTTCAGCAAGGTTTTTCCAACAAAACATCTGGTGGAATTTCATAGAACAAATGGTGTCACATCCCTCCAACAGAATGTAACACAAACAGAATCTATTTCAAGTCACAGCAAAGCTGTTCTCTCTCTCTTTCTCTCACACGCACGCACACACACACACACACACACAGTATATAGCATATGTTTTTTTTTTTTCCTTCTGTCTAAATAGATTAGATTGACTTTATTAATCCCACAACTGGGAATTTCTTTTAGAACAGCAGCAATAATGAAAAAGACAGTAAAAAAAAAGAAAGTATAACAGGATCCATAGGATCAGCAAAAAATAACAATATAGAAAATAGAAACAATAGAAAATGTTACAAGGGTCTCACAGGATGATTATGACCTGTTGGCTGTAATCATTTGCCTGATACATCGTGTTGTATAATTAATCATTTTCACTTACTTCAATACAGAGAGACAATTTCTAAGACCAATATGTGTTGTACAGAAACAATAAGCTTAGCTATTTATAAGAAAACTAGTTACAACTAGTCTCATTATCTTTATAGAAAGGTTTATTATTATTATTATTATTATTATTATTATGTGAAGTTCAACTTGCAGAACATTTACAAACATTATTATAATTAGCTTTAGCTGACTGCAAGCAGTACAAGGTAGTCATGTGCTATATTTTCCATAAAACACAGTCTAGAGAAAATGATCTGTCACGGAAACAGATGACAAGACCTTTACAAAAATATGTGAAATCTTTGTAAATTCTTCTCCATCGAAAGTGAGAAAAGGGTTACGTTTCACCAGCAGGCTACACCTATAAGTCTGCGAGAGTCCAAAAACACTTTCTTTTTCTATTTACTACTCACGTGTGCAGCTCCCGATAGACTGCATTCTGCAGCTTTCTCTCCCATCCTGTTAAAGAGAGCATTTCAATATACCAAGAAATTAATCTATTAATCTGATGCCATGGTTTAAAAAGTTGTTACTGGTACATTGATGTAAATGTTAAGTGAAAGCCTTTTCCCTCAGTTTATGACACACTAATATAATTATCATCAAATCGTACAGCAAATGACATATTTATACTTTAGTGTACATTGAGTGTTCATTTTAACTCACTACAATGATTATTTTATGCCCATCCAAGATTTAATATTACGAATTGCTGTCAGATAATCCACAAGCTCGGTCAGATATTCAGAAAACTGCACTCCGTCGACGTGACGTAAACCACTGCATTGTGGTTACAAATGTAGCGATTTAGAGCACGAGTTAATGCTTCGAAAGACACGAGTAGCAATTACCAGTTTCCTTTAGAAAACTCCGTACGTCATCTTTGATACACTCGAGCTTAATCTCTGGTCTGTGTAAACATTCCTGCAAGAAAAATGTCACCATGAACCATGAAGATATATGAAATATATGCGGTCTTAACAAATATTCACTCAGCTAAAAGTATTCCTTGTGACAAGTATTATTTATCTATAATATTAACTGATTTGATTGCTTCTAGTTTTATAGTACAAAGGCATGGTTATCTTCAATTCAGATTTTTTTTAGCCATGAAGGCTATTCAGCTAGCCAAACATTTCACTTGTCCCTCACCAAGCAATTCCTGATACATAAAATTTAGTTATAGGGAAATTGTTTTAATACTTTGTTCATAGTACATTTCGTTAGAATTTGTGCTGAAGCATGTTAAATCATCAGTCATTTCAAGACGCTAACTAGTTGGACGTTCGGAGGGTTAACATGACACAGCATTACACACTACTTACTTTGGCCTGTTTTTCCAGGTGAGAATGTAAATGACTGCCCTTTAGTCGCTGGCAAACTTGAGCAATTATTATGTTCACCCCCACATCTTCATCCATCACGTATTTTCAATTAACGTTATTTTATTCCGGGGATCAATTTTATTTCAGCAGTCCATTTGATTTCCGCCCCATCCGCGGTAACTAAGCAACTGCGTGGTTGAGCGCCAGCCGAAGAAATCACCGACGGAAAGTATAGATAGCGAACATCAGTTCCTAAGAGTGGCGCTGCGCACGCAGATGTCAGTGCCGATTAATATTAACTATACGAAACGGTGCTACTCTTTGGCGTGTAATTTGTTCCGTGGTTATAAAAGGACATGGTCCTTTCAGTTTGTGGGGTGGATATTGATAAATTGGGACAGTTTTTTTAATTTTACTTTTTGTCTCACCTTAAATATATGATTATTTATTGTAAATATTAAAACATAAAAGTATTTAGTATTGAAAACTCAAGAACCGAGATTAATAGACCATAGAGGCGTAGAGATATAAGTGTACCAAACGTATAAGTGTCCCAGTTTACCCTTTGTCCAACTTAATCAGTATGCGCCCTACTTAACTTGGACTTCATTGTTATACCTATACTATACGTCGTAAGTACTTAAAGTCAGTGTCTTAGTATTATTGCACTTAATTGATGTTATAACGTCGATAAAGCGAATAATATTGTGGTCCTGCACAGGGATCGCTGCAATAGTGTTTGTCTTGATTTTATCCTGCTTTACTAAGTATAACATATACAAATGCATACACGATATATTATTCATTAAGTATTGAAATAATGGAAATTAAACATAGGCTATTGGCAGGCTTATAACCCGATATATTACGCGTAGGGCATATATCTGTCAAACGTCGTGGTATGAATGGTTCAAACTCACCGACACGCGGGGGAAATAACCAATTTGTCACAGCGCCGTCTGCTAGGCTCTGAAATTTATACAGCGAAAGACTGGGGACAGCTGGGTGACCACATGCCGTCTATGCGTTCCCACAGCCAGTTATTTTTTCAGCATTGTGCAATTAATCCTGATTATGACAGTTTCATCACTGACTCATCCGAAGTGAGCGGAATTTCAGTGAAAGAATCAGCTGAAAATATTCTGCCATCTGAAAAGGCAATATTTCAAAATGTCAAAAAATATTGAAAGAAAGCAATTTCTTTCGTGTGGAATAGATTAATTCACACGCAATGGTACGTTTATCCTGCATCCTAACAAGCTACACTGTCAGGAAATAAAGTTACAGCCCAGGTGCAGTTTTGTACCCAAAGATACAAACAACAATAAAATGCCCCCAATGGTACAAAAAATGTTCATCGGAGTCCTATACGTTAAAAAGGTACACATTTATGTTCAGCTAGGGTACAATTGGCAGATCCTAGAAGGTAGAGCCCCGGTGTCAAGTAATTTTGGCCTCAAAGTTACAAATTCGTAATTTACGTTGAAACTGGGCCAGAGCGGTTTGATAAATAAAGTCACAATGAATCAAAACTGAAATTGAAGGGACTTAGAAAAACTAAGAAAAATAATGAGGTATGAAAAAGCTACCAAAAAGGCCTCACTTTTTTATTATTTGTTTTTACCGGTCCATAATAACGAACTGCGTACAGGATTCTATTACATAAGGCTGCATATGTCAGGTTCTAACTCTCTTTTCGAATTGTAAAAACATTGGCATATTCTAGTTGCGTTTTGTGTGTGGAATACACTTAAATAATAATATTTTTCTGAACGATGCACTGTAAATAAGCACTCCCTTCGTGATTTTTACCCATATTGTATTTATCAATCTTCAAATGAATCGCGTTGATATTAATAATAATATTAGTAAACGTTTTATAACTCTGTGTAAAAGTTACAAGCCTTCAGTTTTACATAAATCTCATCGCATATTTTTAATATTTTAAAGTTATCCCACCAGACAAAAAGGAAAATTCGCATAGTTTTAAATTTAATATTTATAATTGTAAATCTTTATCTGATCGGGTAAGGTTTAATCTAATTAGAAAGTAGTCTTTGGCACTGAACGAAAAGTTAAAACTATCCGTAAGTAGGCCTATAGGAAAGGCGGAGTTTTCGTAATGCGGTCTTGGTGTTTTACCCCAAGTTCACGAGAGGGAGCCGCACAGTAGGCTACTTCCCTTACTACAAGGCTGGATCACGGGTAACTTTGGCGTTCTTTTTCGTAAGAAATCAAAAACCCTATGTAACAGGCTGGTAACCTAATATAACATATTTTGGAGACGGAGACCATTTAATGAAAACGTACTTATAAAATGTACAGTGCGAAGAAGCGAGAAATTCCTCTGTCGGGTACAATCGTAATAATATATGCTATTTAAACAGGGTATTGGCTCAGAGTAAATTCAAATATTGATGGCATTTTATAATGGAATGTTTTGTACGTCCATGAGTGGAATTTAGTGGAATTTAGAGATCATTTTAGTGTTATATATAAGCGGCTATGGAGACATTCACCTTGCACGATATGCTCATAAATTCCACTGATATTTACAAACTATTATGCGGCCTTGGAATAAAGAACGATTCCGACTGCTATGGTGAAGTGGACTTGCAACCGGAGCTGAAAGGTAGGCTTCATCTTATTTAACATTCTCCTTCTCCACTGGTTGTTTAAGATGTAATATTTCATTATACGTAACTTTCAATAACAATAATGACAAATTCTTTAATATGGAAAACTCCAAAGCTTAACTTTTAAGATTTAATAAATGACATATTTGCTGTAAATTCATAAACAGATTTAACTGTCAAGGAGTGGGTTACAATTGTACTACAAAAATGTCTGACTTTAGGCAAGCCTATGTATAATTAATGTAGGCTATAGCTTTGCTGCTTCGCTATGTTTAATCAAATTTAGGAGTGTATATATCAGGGGTGTCAATCTTCAGTCCTGGAGGGCCAGAGCCCTGTGTAGCTTAGTTTTCTCTGTTTCACCACAAATGATTCAGCTCCAGAGCTTTGTGGTAATTAGCACAAGGAGTTGAATCAAGTGTGTTAAATGAGGGGAAACCCAAAAATGTGCAGGGCCCTCCAGGACACACACACACGGCTGGTTTTGTGCTTCTCAGATGCAAACCAGACGGTGCGGATCGTGCTATACAGTGTGATCTTCCTCCTGAGTGTGCTGGGCAACACCTTGATCATCACTGTGCTGGTGCGAAACCAGCGCATGCGAACTGTTACCAACCTGTTCCTCCTGTCACTGGCTGCCAGCGACCTCATGCTCTGCATCTTCTGCATGCCCTTCACTCTCATTCCCAACGTCATGCGCAACTTCGTCTTCGGCAGTGGCATGTGCAAGGTGGCCATGTACTTCATGGGTGAGATCAGGGTTCGGGGGGTATTTGTCTCCTATCACTCCATATCCTATGCTAGCTTACTGTGGACTTAGGTGATTGGTACCAAATCATTTTGACAAATTTCCAGTTGCTGGAAGCATGACAGCATGAACAGTTTACGAAGAAGGAGACAAATAACAAAAATAACATGCAGCATTTTATTCTGTTTAAGTGGTTTATGTAGCTGATCAAGTAGGCCACTGAGCTAACAAAGTACATATTGTGGGCCCAAATATCAGGGAGCATACATACCCCCTCTCTTGTAACCCTTCCCTTTACTGTAAGTCACGATAAAAGTGTCAGATAAATGAGCTAAATGTAGAATAACATTTTAAGTATCTATCTTGGAAACACTCCAGACCAGTGCGACTATGCATATCTATTATACAAAACAACGCATTCATTTTTAGGGCTGAGAATGATGACATTGTGGTATAGTCATTTACTTACATGCATTTAGAAAAGCATATGTAAAATTTTTAAAAAAGAAAGTAGGAAAAAAACACGTGTTTCTTACCCAGATAGGTTTATGGTGCCAACTAAACCCTTGCGATGGGTCAGCGCCCCATTCTGGGTTGTTCCCTGTCTTGCACGCATAGCCTCCAGAAAAGGCTCCAGACCTCCTGTGACCCTGAATAGGACAAGCAATTACAGAAAATGGATGGATGGATCGGTGCTAATTAAATATAGTGGAGTGGTACAATTAAACAAAGTACTGGTGGATGTAAAAAACATAAAATGAGATAGATTGTAAAAACGTCTCTTTCAATTTTTTTTTTATTCAGTTTTTTGTTTAAAATGTAAAGTTTTAATTTTTTATAGTAGTCATGGCATTAATCGCATATATTATAGGCTATAACTTAATATTTTTGGAGAAGGCTATATATTGGTCAAGTGCTGTTGATTTTTTTTCTACATAATTGTAACAACGTAGTATGTTGTTGACACCTGAAATTAGTATGAAATAAGGTTTGCTTGTGAAGACACATTATTGATCTTTATCTAACTTAGGAATACATTTCCTTGTTTGTTTGGGTAGTCATGGAGTGACCAACACAGAATAGTACAGACATTTATTTAATTTGGCACAGTGTTTAAAAGGAGTGAAAACTTTTGAGCTCCCTTCATGACTAAGCTGCTGTATAACCATGATAATTTTACTTTGTTTATTACATGCCCCGCTTCTGTGCTAGGAGTTGTTAATATTTATTAGAAACTTCAGATGCTATTGATAAAGAGAATGGAACTGCAAGCTCTGTATGTCTGGAACCAGTTCGAAGTACATTGTTAAATTGTTAAACCACAAGGAATGGCCTGGACTCCTCTTCTGTTACAACCCTGCAGCCTTGCTCTTAAGTCCAGCTTTACAAGTAAAGATATTAAGAGTAACATTATAACTCTTGCGAAATGTGTTTTTGCCACTTAAATGCTCAGAATAATCATATTTTAGTCACTATACTCATTATGCCCATTAAAATATTTTTTAAAATGTTATATTATTACGGCACTGACAAAATGATAATAATAATTGTTAAAAAGTATTCATAATAATTACAATGATAAAAATTGTATAATGCTAGCATATGTAGCCCGTGCAACATGTTTCCTGTTCAAAATCACAGGCATCTCAGTGACCGTGTCTACTTTCAATCTGGTGGCTATCTCACTGGAGCGCTACAGCGCCATCTGCAATCCACTCAGCTCTAGGACTTGGCAGACCAAGTCCCATGCCGCCAAGGTCATCTCTTCCACCTGGGTTCTCTCCTTCCTGCTCATGCTGCCTTACCCTATCTTCAGCACCCTGGTACCTCTTAGACATGACAACAACAGCACAGGAAACATGTGCCGGCTCGTATGGCCCAGCGACGTGATTCAGCAGTCCTGGTAAGAGCATGTCATGCTTCAGCTTCTGTGGAGTTTCAGCATTATTTAATAAGCATGCTTTTTATTTTTCAAAACTGCTAATCGGTCTTTCAGATATACTCAAAATAAACCATGTTTTGATTGGTTATCCTTATGTTAGCCCGAGTTAGGCATACTAAACATTAGATATTATTAACCAAGCAGTAATTGATTATCTGGAGCATAAAGTAAATCAACTTTCAATCAGGAGTGTCCTGTCTCCTAGGTATTTATTGATATTACTGTTCAATCCAGGTATGTCTATACTTCTTACTTCACCTCTTGCTACTGTTCTTACTACAGCTGCATCCAGGAATGGATTCCTCTTATTCCTTTTCTTTTTATTGTTCATTTATTTGCCCTTCCTACTGCTCCTCCACCGTAAATGTAAGTCTGTCTCTTCCTCATACGGTTCCCTTTACTGTTCCCCACTAGGTATGTGCTCCTTCTGCTGCTCCTCTTCCTGGTTCCAGGCATAGTCATGATGACAGCCTATGGGCTCATTTCCCTGGAACTTTACAGGGGAATTAAATTTGAGACTATGAACAGGAAAAGCAATAGAGGTAGGAAAATGCCCAGGAACCCCTTAGTCTGTACTTACAGTATAACTGTTTCACCTCATAAAGAAATGTAATATTAGAATCCTAAAATAAGTTTGAAGGACGTTTACGCTGCTGTGTATTATTCGCTTACTGCATGTAGAGAATGCACCCTAACACATATATAGTATTATATACCTACACATATAACACATTCACCCTCATGCACATATGAGTACTTATCTTATACTGACAAGATCAATGTAAAATAAAAATCTGGTCTGGAAAACTGTCATTCGGAAACACATCAATGTGAAAATTTGAACTTTATTGTGAAATATCATTTGAATTATTTAAGTAATAATAAGTACATATTATACACTAGTATTTAATAACTATTATTATGTATGAAATACATAATAATTATAGGTTTATAAAAATTTTGAGTTATTTTAAAATAAACTGGCATATGAATTATTGGAATATTTTTTATTTACTTATATAATTTATTTTGAGTGAGTATTGTGGAATTCCAATATCTACATATTTACTTATGTTGACACTTACTTGATTTTATACTCATACTCACAGGATCCACACACATATTAACATTCCCACACACCCATGCATGGACACTCACAGACCTCAGACTTTTGCATAAACACAGTTTCACTCTCCCATACACACATCCAGAAATGTTATGCTGTGACATGCCAGCACTGCTCCTTTATCGCTGTATTCTTCCCCAGAGAGACAGGCTGCCATAGGAAGCCTGAAGCCCAATGATGGAGACGGCTGCTACTTACAGCCCTTTAAGAAGGATCAACTGCATTTGCAGCAATCAAGACAACCCAACCCCCAGGGGGTGGTCACATCTGACAGCAACAAGCCCCAGCTTAGCCGTGTGTGTAGTAACAGCTCCACAGCCAACTTAATGGCCAAGAAGAGGGTTATCCGTATGCTCATTGTAATCGTTAGCCTCTTTTTCCTTTGCTGGACTCCGGTTTTTACTGCCAATGCCTGGCGGGCTTTTCACCAGCACTCTGCCATCCAGCTACTGTCAGGAGCTCCCATATCCTTCATCCACTTGCTGTCCTACACCTCTGCTTGTGTCAACCCCATCATTTACTGCTTCATGAACAAGCGCTTCCGCCTGGGCGTCCTTGCCACCTTCAGTTGCCGTGACCGCCTCCCACCTGGACACCTTAACCATGGGCCCACCACAATCCGAGAGACGGATGATAATGGCACCTTCACACGCTTCACATACAGTAGCATACGTGGTTCTGCCCAGGCATAATGAGTAGTCCCACTCCCGGCACCACAAGACTGGGGGAGGCAATGGGGAATTTATAGCACTGCTGACTGGAATGTTAGCAAGAAAATTTGTATGTGCTTAAGAAAAAATGTGAACCCACCACAGCCAAGACATACAGATCTGTTAACTGGGCAACTGGTACTAGGACTGAAGGAATGCTGATTATGTGTGGGTCACTTTGGGATCTCCACCATGCCCTTTATCTGAAACCAATTGGGTATTTGTCAAATAATAATATAACAAATAATAGAAAATTGATCATAAATGGGTGGTATGCTGGTGCAGTGGTTAGCACTATTACCTCAGACCTTTGGGACCAGGGTTTGAGTCTCTACTCCATGTGTGTGGAGTTTGTATGTTCTCCCCATGTCATCATGGGGTTCCCTCTGGGTACTCCATTTCTCCTCCTCCCCCTGCCCAAAGTCCAAAAACATGCTGAGGTTAATTGGAGTTGCCAAATTGCCTGTTTGTATGCCTGTGTGAGTGTGTCCTGTGATGGGCTGGCACCCCATCCTGGGTTCTTACCTGCCTTGCAACCATAGCCTTGAATTTAAGTATGACAAAGCCTTTTAGACACCTTTAACACTAGAAAGACTGACTGGGTCAATTGACCCAAATCAAACAAAATCACTGCTATTTCTCATTGAAGTTCTTGCTACAAAAATCTGAAAAAATCTGACTTTTATTTTTTTATCATTCTTGAACAGAACATGGTAACACAAATGAAGTTGCTGGTGAAATTAGTATTTTACAGCAGTATATACCTAGAAAGACTGACTGGGTCAATTGACGTAATGTCATGCAAATGAATTAGATAACCAAGTCATAATAACAATAACATAATAGTCATAACACCATCACCGACAGGGCAACTTGAGAGAAGTCAGCTGTCAAGTCACGGTCGCTTGTAAACGCAACAAAACTGTCACTACCTGTGACACGTGCAAGCGTCCTGTTTGCGGCAAATGCTTGGCCAAAATATGCATGAGCTGTCAAACGAAAGCTAACTGAAGCTAACTTTTTTCAGATTTTTGTAGCAAGAACTTCAATGAGAAATAGCAGTGATTTTGTTTGATTTGGGTCAATTGACCCAGTCAGTCTTTCTAGTGTTAAGGCATCACCAATTGAAACAGAAAACTTTTATTAACTTTTTTTTAATTATTATTTAACTTTATTAAGTACTTACTGTATAGTTGTGTGTACATTTCTAATGACCCAGTTGATTTCACCCCCCTTAGCCTTACAGACACACTATATTGCCAAAAGTATTGGGACACCCCTCCAAATCATTGAATTTAGGTGTTCCAATCACTTCCATAGCCACCGGTGTATAAAATGAAGCACATAGTCGCTCTCAGGAGCTCAGTGAATTCAAGCATGGTACCGTGATAGGATACCACCTGTGCAATAAGTCCATTCATGAAATTTCTTTGCTACTAAATATTTCACGGTCAACTGTTAGTCGTATTTTAACAAAGTGGAAGTGATTGGGAACAACAGCAACTCAGCCACAAAGTGGTAGGCCACATAAAATCACAGAGCGGGAACACAGTGTGCAACTATCTGCAGAATCAATAGCTACAGACTTCCAAACTTCATGTGGCCTTCAGATTAGCTCAAGAACAGTGCGTACTTCATGGAATGGGCATCATTAAGTGCAATGCAAAGCGTCAGATGCAGTGGTGTAAAGCACGCCACAGTGACAAACCATGCTTTTCTGTCTGGCAATCCGATGGACGAGTCTGGGTTTGGCAGTTGCCAGGAGAACGGTACTTGCCTGACTGCATCGTGCCAACAGTACAGTTTGATGGCATTCAAAGCCATTTTAGACAATTTCATGCTCCCAACTTTGTGGAAACGGTTTGGGGATGGCCCCTTCCTGTTCCAACATGTCTGCGCAATGTCCATAAGGACATGGATGAGCGAGTCTGGTGTGGAGGAACTTGGCTGTCCTCCACTGGGCCCTGACCTCAACCCGATTATAGAACACCTTTGGGATGAATTAGAGCGAAGACTGCGAGACAGGCCTTCTCGTCCAACATCAGTGCCTGTCCTCACAAATGCTCTCATGGAAGAATGGTCAAAAATTCCCATAAACACACTCCTAAACCTTGTGGACAGTGGTCAGAAGAGTTGAAGCTGTTATAGCTGCAAATGGTGGGCCAACTCCATGTTAAAGCCTATGTATTAAGAATGGGATGTCATTAAAGTTCATGTGTGTGTAAAGGCAGGTGTCCCAAAACTTTAGCTAATATAGTGTATGTCTGCTCTCTGCTGTCTTTCTCATGACTGTGCCCACTGTGCTTGGTCTTTCTCTTTTAAACACAGAAAGCAACCCCCACTGCGGCTCTGCACTCCTTTACATTGCTTGTAGCCAGTAGTTCTTGGTGTCACCATAACCCAGTGAATAATTTGTTACATACTTGCTGGGTTTAACTGTACCACCTTTGGTACTTGAAATTGCTGGAAAATGTGCTTCGAACTGACTGATGAACTGGCTTGAGAATTTTCCTTCTAGTTGAAGAATGTTTGTCATCCAGAGTGTTGTAGCTCCCATGCACTTCTTTCATGATACTTTATGATTTCCTGTCAGGGAAATCCTTTATTTGCTTACGCTGTCTTGCTCTCCCTGAGACAACCGCTCACACATATACAGGTGAGAGCAAGATTGGGGTCACAGTGAAGAGTCAGCCACTTACGGCATTTTTAGACTTCTTGCATATGAATGTTATGGATGATTATAATTACATGCTAAGCTGTGTTTAAAGTCTAAAACTAAACTATCCAGCTGGCTTCTAATCTGTACTTCATGTTTGTGTAACCCCACCCCTTTGGTGGTGTGGAGTATCTGCAGATGTGCTACATTTGTCCTTGAACCTCAGTGTGCAGGCACCTGCTGTGGGATTTCCTGCACCTGTGGAGGGGGGTTCAAAGAAGCCGCATGGTTCTGTATGCCAGCCATAGATCTTGTACACCCTGCATACGTCGTACTCTAGTGCTGTTTTTTCCCATATTACTCTTAATTTCTCTGTAAAACATTTGTGGAATGAAATTTTACATGGCATGTTTTAAGTCTCATTTTATATTGAATGAGAATTTTTATGTAGAGAATGTTTACTAGAAGAAATATAATAAAACTGTATTCTGCAAAAGACCATTATTGTTGGAGAATGTTTTAAAAATTTACCTGAATTATTCATGCACTAGTTGGTAGTGGTGGCCTAATCGTTAGGAAAGTGCACATGTAATTCAAAGATTGCTGGTTTGTATCACTGACCAGCAGAGTACCATTGAAGTACCCTAAGCAAGGTACTGCTCCCTGGGTGCTGAATTAGCTGTCCCCTTTTATGTCATGATATCACATGTGGGCTAAATATAGGGCACATTTTGTTGTGGTGTGTCAACAATGACATAATTTCACTTCATAATAGTTTCCAAACTCACAAATGGCATTCATGCCCTGAAAATTCTCCTATTCTTGCCAGGACACCTACCCACTGCATGGGCCACCAAAGTCTACTAGGAACAGTGTCAGTCTCCTTGGCTACAATATTACTGCTCTGTAACGAAGCAATCTAGATTTTTTTTTTAAATGCTCCATTCAATGTGTCTGTACTTCATTTTATCTCACGATGTCCCATCAGAACTAGACAAAGCTGAATGAACTAAGGGACAAAACGCCGCATTTAAGGAAGTTATGTCCCATCACACAATCTCCCTTTAGCTGTAAAAGTCTGCATACTCCTTTTTACGCATACGTATAACTTATTTTTCTTAAAAATGAAGAGGATTATAATAAACCCTTAATGGCCCCACGGGAAAGAAACTTTAAAACAAAGGGGATTATTACACTGGAGTGATTGTCAGAGTGTGAGCAACATCCTCCAGAGCCTAATCCATTACTGAGAGTCCTAGGGCCCAAAGCAACATTACCTTTCAGAATACTGCGGATTGGGTCATCAGTAAAATACAGAACTGTATTTCACCTCCCTCTTAACAATTTATGTTGGAGGGACACAGTACCTGAAGATACCTCAAAGCACTTGAATGTTGTTCCAACAGGGGAACCTGCAAAGCATCATTTTCACTACAGACTGGGTATTGTTTGACTTTAAGTGCCATGGACAAAGAAACAGTGTCACATAAGATAAACTGCATAAAAGCAAAGAACTCAATAAAATTTTTAAACTTTAGGTCTTGTTACAGCAATGAATTCGAAGAAACCTTCTGATTGTAGACATAAGGCTATGGTAACAAACAAGCAAGCTGCATATTGACAGTAACAGGTAAAGGGTACTATACTATAGCAGACTGTTCCACTAAAGTGATAGCAGATACCACTGTATACCAGCTAGGAGCCAAGAAGGTGCATCAACAAAAATGAACAAGCAGAAGTACCAGGGATATTGACAGCCAATAGACAACAGTAACACTTAAGGCACCATGGCTGCAGGAATACTAGAGACTACTAAAGACTGGTCAGCTGGTGAGCTTGTAAGCTCAAAGAACAAAGGCAACAGGAAAAATGTACAATGGTGAGGAATATACAATAACAGTACAACACACTGCATATCTTTACTTTTCTTTATTCTTTTTTGTCAATATTGTTGGTGTATTGTTTGTGTATCCAGTAATGAAATATGGAACTGAGCAGGTGTAATATGTACAATAAAAACCTATCAAAAACTGTCCTGCTGTTTCACGTTATTGCTAAAATTTTACAACTGCACAGGTCCTACCACATAACCCCTCAATGATCACTGAGGTCACTACCACACAGATACTCCTGCTCATTTCTATAAACACAGTGGATATCAAGTTCTACTGATTCAAAGCTCTCCTTTCTGCACCATTTCCAAATGTGCAGAGGAGGTGATAGAAACAGAATTACTAGAATGGCTCCAACAGTAAAAGAGCAGAAATGATTGCATATTTGCCAGACTAATTTCTGGGTGGAATTCAGGATCTCTCAAAATGAAATTGCACATGCAGGTCATTATCTACAACAAAAGCTGCCATGACTGAAAGGCCTCTAGTTTACCTGCACACATCTGGGTTTTAAAGTTTAATTCTTTTTGCTTAATCATTCCACCACATTCTTCAACTGACAAGATGACAGCATGAATGGGAGCAGAAGCGTAGCACACCACACATCTAATCAGCAACCATCATATGGAATACGGTTATTGGAATGTTGGTGGAACGATTTTACTGCAAGGGGTAGGTATGAACTGCGTCTTGAACCCCACAGCCTATCCTGCATCTTGGACCAATCTGGTAATTCTGTATCTACAGTAGGCAGGAAAGAGAGAGAGAGAGAGAGAGATAGTGGGGGCCAGGGGTACCACCCAGGTTAACAAACACATGCAGACCCTGGAGACTGACTGATGAGAGGTTCACACCTCATCCTCCAGGCTACACAGCAGTGAGAACGTGGTTTGTTTAACACTACAAACTGGACCTCGGCAGGCCTCGGTCTCTGTCCACTCCTCCGTAAACCTGCCCCTCCTGCACCCTGTTTGCTTAGCAGTACATGGAAATTTACGTTAATTGTAATTTGGCATGTTTGAGTACACACATTTTGATCAGAGCTCATAAAAAAACAGCTGCTTTTGAAGAAAAGAAAAGCGTAAGTATATTAGAAAAGCATCACTTACATTAAAATAAAAGTAGAAAGTCTTTGTTCTGTCAGCATGTTCAGAAAGTTTCATAACATTTCTCACTCTTAGCTGGTGAAGTAATAGGGTTGATATAAAAATCATTCGCAGAACTTTTAACCCCGCTTAAACCATAAGTTACTGTGGGGACAGGCCTAAAGAGTTCATGTAAACAGTCATAACCAGTAAGGATTGTCAATCAAATGTCTGAAACATGCCTACAGCCATCCGTTTTCGCATTAATTTAATTAGGGCCCACTTCCAAATTGTACGGGTCAACATGTTTGGTGAAACTTCAAAATCAGCAGGAAAGCAGAATGTCAAGTGCAGCAAGACACCCAGAAAGTGTGTTCAGGGCCTCAACAGTGGTGCACAAAAACTCCACCTTAAATGGTCAAGTTGGACATTCTTAAGGCTCTTCCTTTGAAGATCACCATTTCTACTTGTTCAAGGAAAACAAAAATGAACAGTTTTGAAAAGGCCAAGATCTCGGTTCATTTATGACAATGGAAACAATAGATTTCAGCTGATATTCATGCAATTTCTTGTGGTAAAGCAATTTAACTGCAAAATGCTGGCAGTTAGCCCCCCACCCCCTCCCAACTAATCATTAGTGCATCATCATGGCAATAGCAAGTCCACTCCAGGGCCAGAGGCAGTAAGGGCATAATGCACTTATTTGAAATAAACAGCAGGGCAAATACTATTAATAATAAAATTAAAAAAACATCACATGAAACACTGGGCATATAAACTTGTGAACAAGGCTGAAAATTTAACGTTTTTTTGCTTTTCATAAAGGTTTAAAAAAATTTAAATCAACTTTTATGCTAAGGGTGTGTTAACAATACCAAATACAAATTTGTGTAGACATTCAAATCACAGTATTTATCTCCATGTGTACATAGTTCTATTGTAATTAAATCATGATATTGCCTTTTTGCCTGTCTGTTTGGATATTATCATTGTGAAGCATGCATCGCTATGAAACCAGCAATTGCATAAGGACAGTGTGCTGGACCCTGCACTACCAATAAAAAAGATATCTGAATAAGTCAACAATGCGAGACGCCATAAATCATTAAATTCATGACAAGCTGAAATCAAGGTGGAAAAATGATCACCCTGGATGGAGTGCTCAGAACATGGACTACGCATGACAAATACTTCCACTAACATTTTTATCGTTTTGTAGTTTTCGGTCCAAGTTCTAAACAGGTTCCACCTCATGTAACTTTGTAAAATGTTCAATGAGAAATGTACTCAGTGTTGCATTTGTGCAGATGAATACAAGAGGGCACTGACTCAACAAAAAACTAAACTGTTGTGCTGTGGAAGCCAGACACAAAACATAAATGCTTCTTTGTTAAAATACTGCTTTAAAATACTAACATTTAACGCATTTTTTTCTAAAAAAAAAAAAAACCCTTTCATTAATTAATTCTCACCACACACAATTCACCAAAGACAAATACCGATAAAATACCGACTACCACCTACACACTGTGTATGAAACCCTCTAATTTTTTTACATGAAATGTACTGGAAACTACAGGCAACTCATGATCTAATGATGCCAACATCAACCTAAATCACCAAAGTCAGTATTAGACATTTTTCTCATCCTAAGACAATGTATTAGTAGGCCACCTCACTCTGATCAACTGAGGTGGACTACCATAAACCAAGAACGAAAGTTTTTTTCTGTTAAGTCGACTATAGATCTATAGAAGAGTGGTCTGCAGGAGGTGCCTGGTCACCTTTGTCTAACCCCCTAATCACAACAACTCAGAAGGGTAGACATACATATTCAGGAATGATGGAGTTGGTTCCAGTTAGAAACTTGGGCAAGAATAGGGAGGATAGAAGAGGTCCATCAACTGGTGAGAGGACTGATGAGAAATGAAGTGTGAGAAATGGAACCTCCAACACAAGCTCTGCCTTGCCAAGGACATATGCAGCACTGGCGATTCTGGGCTATCGTCAAGTCCGCTGCAAGTGATGCTTCTCTCTAGTCAGTGGTAAGCACTTGTTTGGTCTCCTAAATTGAAGACCTAGGTCTTTTGGTTTAGCAGGCTGTATGTCAAAGTGGAGGACATGTGCCTAGGCATTGTTAGCCAGACAGGAGCTGTTCTAGCACCAAACGGCACTGCATAAGAATTCGATAATCCAGTGAAAGTACAAAAGAAAAAAAAAAGGTGTTGGTCTTCCAGGAAATGCAAAGATGTCTTCAGTGAATAATGTAACAAGACAGTCATTAACTCGGTGTGAGTAACATGGCAAATTAAAAAGGCAAACTGGAGAGTAGCAAATTGACTGTAGTCAACAGTAGAAACAAATCTTCACAACTGCAATAAGGCCACATCAACTTTAAGTGTCAGTCATTTTCAGCATCTCTAACAACAGGGTTCTGGCGACAATTCTAGACACCTGGAAGACTAAGAACAGTTTAGGTTATACCTATAATTGACAGCTGTACAAGAAATTCAAGATTTTATACACTTGATACTTTTACAATGACAGCATTGTGGAACACACAAAGGCGAAATCTATCGCGGACTAGGCGAAATGAATCTGGCATTTATGTTTGACAAAGATGTACACTTTTCTATGGCTACCACTTCTCTAACACAGTAACAGACTTGACCACTTTGTTTCTGTAACTTGTAAGTTGCAGCAAATAAAAAGGAAGAAATAGAAACCGCTATGTTCCTTCATTATCATTAAAAGGAAACGTAGCGCACGTTCAGTATTGCAGACAAGGCAGAGGCAATGCTTAAAGCTTTTCTTTTAAAGACTTCATATAAAAGAACGATAAAATGAACTCTGAGATTCTCCCCCCCCCCCCCAAAAAAAAAAAAAACACACACAATACGCCTTCGGTTTTTGCTTTAAAAAAAATCACCAGAATGCAGTTTACAAAAAAAAAAAAAAAAGTATTCCACCCCAAAACCAAAAATGCTGGCATTCGACAAAAAAATAAGGTAGCTACAATACACAAGCCAGGCCAGAATTGCAACCTGAAACAGACTTCAGCTCAGAGTTAAAATAGAAACTATTTGGTAACAAAAGTGTACTATATGCTTAATACAAAAAGGTATGGAGAAAATGTACCTTTACTAAAGCTTATACAATATCCTTGGTCCATAAAAACTATGTTATTACCACATTTTATATGTGTTCCTCTAATAGAGTCCCACCCCAACAGTAATACATCTTGCCCTTTACAGAAACACAAAGGAGGAGGAAAAAAAGCAAAAAATAGACTTTTCTTTAATAAAGTTTTATACATGGCTGACGTATCATTGGTGCGGCCGGTTATAGAGCACGACTGGGGACACTGGAGTTCTTAGGAAAGTGGATTTCCATTATGTCTATCCACCACCAAGGCCAACTAAGCATGTCCTTTTAGCCTTTTTTATTATGGATTTTTTTCCTCTCTTTTTCCCCCTCGTTTCTCTCCTTCGTGAACCTTTTTTTTTTTTTTTTTTTTGCAGCACTTTGAGGAGTTCACCTGTAAGTCATTTTACGTGTGTTTTGTGTGTTAGGACACAACTGCAGCAGCAGCTGAAGAGGATGTGACGCTAGTGGGGTTGCTGTTGCCTCCAGCATAGCCAGCATCGCTATTCGTGCTACTTCCCAGCAGGCTGGAGCTGCTGGCACGCAGGATGGCCCCGGCGGCATTGCAGTGGGGTCGCGGGCCCGGCTCTGGTGTGTAGGTGAACGTTAGCGTGGTGGAGTAGATTATCCCATCGTTGCGCACCAGTGTGACCGGTACTTGTACCGGCTGCCGCACCCATCTCCAACCCTCGCGGAATGCTGAGATGTCTGGCACCACACACAACATGCTCTCTGCACACCTGCAGGGGAGGGAGGACAACAGAGGAAGGAAAAATAAGTAAAATAAAACTTCATCTGTGTTTCCTTTTCAAAATCCAAAAACAATATCTTTAATTATTTTTGCTTTAAGAAAAAGCTTCAGTTGTGTCAGTACAATCAGTCCCGCAAAAACGTAACTAATGCGTTCCTGAAAAGCTTTGCATTCACTAAAATTATGTACTAAAATATACATCTCCAATGGGGAAAATGGGTTTAGGGAACGTAACTCCAAAACTTTGTAAATTTTGGCAAATACAATTAATTAAATAATAAAAAAACAGTTGTACCAGTGACCAATTCATTCTTATTTCTCTTCAGTCATGCTGGGAAAATATATTTTAAAAGATCAAAGTCTTGGCTATTAAAATTTGTAATGGGCCAACCTCCCAGTGATTTCATTTCATCTTAAATGGCATTTTTGCAACTGAGAGCTTGAACCTTATCAACTCCATCAGTCACAAAAATTCATATAAAAATATAAAGCACATTTATAGCACAAATAACACAGAGAAGGTGTACAATAGAAATCATCATTGACAAACTCATTTTTAAATCATTTTGAGCTTATTTGTAATGAATATACTAGAAAAAATCCATCTGACGGAGTTGACAGCTAACTGACAGAGTTAACATCATACAAAACGGTACACAAACATTTAACAAACTTGGAAGCATACATAATGCCATTTCAGACATGAATCGCCTATTTTTGGTTGACAAAATTGTTATTTTTTTTATTGCACAGCAAAGTCTTAAAGAGTAGCCATTTTGCTTTTTTAAAGCTGGTAAAAGTGCTCTCAATACTAATCAAAATATGCATTTTTAAACCAAATTTTTTTATTTAGTTTGATTTAGAAGAGCTACAGAGTTAACCTGTTATGGTTGAGACATACCTGATTCAATATTTCATAAATTTATCAAAGAAACAGAGTTACCAGTCCATCAGCAGTATTCTCTCCTTTTATTGAAACCAGGAAGTGAGGCATACATGCTTAGTATATAGCTGATAATTTAATCAGGGATAAAAAAGTATGTTTCTGTTGAAATCTAATGGAGTTGACAAAATCTGGGACAACTTTAAAGGGGTACCATTTTCATAAAAATATACATTTCAAAACAAAGATAATAGTAAAATTTCACACCTATATTATCAGTAGGTATTGTTAATTTCAGATTTCAAGGACCGCAGACGTGCCATGGCTGGGCTTGTGCCAGCGATCTTCTAATCACAGGCCCACTGAGCCACACGCTGAATTAGTACATCAATACAGAATATTTAGAAGCTTTTTCGGTAGGACATGATTTGGCACAATTCTGAAGAATGGGAGAATTATTGTGCATTTTGAATAAGAAATAATAATATATTAATTATTTCAAAAATATCTCCTATGTGTCTGATGAATCTCATGAGAATTGCTTAGTAATTGCTTCAGCTGAACTTGCCAAACTCGCTAACTTATCGATTATAGAGTTGGGAATAATGATGGCCAAAACATCGCTTCATGAACCATTAGATGTATTTTCACCACTAGATGGGGCTCTTGGATAACTTTGGGGCATGCTTTCAGCCCTTTTCTGAACAGATAGCATCATCTAGTGGGGTCAGAAAATGCAGCAAATGGTTCACGAAATGTGTTGTTTTGGCCATCATTAATGAGGAATAGTGAGCCACAGTCACCATGCGGCCAGGCATGCACTGGCATGTACAGTAGAACCTCGGTTCTCAAACCTAATTTGTTCCAGAAGGCTGTTCAAGAATCGTATTTGGTCGAAAACCGAATCAATTTTTCCTATAAGAAATAATGTAAATTGGATCAATCCGTTCCAGACCTCCAAAGGATTGCCTATTTAAGCCTGCATAATACATACCTAATGCTAAAACCATAAAAACGGTAAAACCCATAAAAACATGAAATAAATGAAAATTTAACAGCACTTCACCTGTGCTGTGGAAAACTACTGACATATAATTATTTCCTTTTCAAGCTGTATTGTGGTTCTCACAACTTTCCATGGTCTGCTGCTATCACTAACCTTCTTAGGATCCATGGTGGCTTATTTAAAAACAAGAGCAACAAAAGCAACAGCAACACTGTGTTGTTCATTAAACTCTCCAACAAAAACTCCTGAACAGACATGGAAAAACTGGAACATGTGGAGAGGCACATTCTATGTAGAACACATATTTGAGAGGGAATTGAAATATCCATTAGAATCCCAACATCACAGCTGGCTGGAGAGGGGGGTTTGGGGTGGTTTAAAAAAAATTCATAATCAGAATACTAGGTGACATTAAACCAGAACTAAAATCAGATTTTAGAAGTCTTCTTATTTTAAACTATTTTGTAAATTTAAATTACCTGTGATATCTAACAACCCATAAATATTTGTTTCACACATTTCCAAAATAATACAATCACATGTAATATTTTCAATACAACACCTCAAACAAAGCTGTTCATCACAAACCTTTCATGGCGACTTTGATTTCAAGAGGTTGCCTCTTAAACCACTAAGGCTCTTTAACATGTAGTGATAAATTGCAGTGATAAACTACACCTTACAGAACTTCCTTTTTAAATTCACAAAATTTCTCTCATCATAAGAAATGCTGACATCAAGTATGAATCGGTAGTAACTACCTACATTTTTGTCAGTTTCAACACCGAATTATTTCAAACTTATCTTAAACCTTTAAACATCCTTTAAAATATCCTGCCATTAACAATTTCATATTAAAATGATAGGTCAATTAGCCTTCTGTTGCAGAAACTCTTGCAGGCCTACAGCATTCATTTTTTTATCCCCCTTTTTTAAAATCATAAATGCTTAACTGGCTAAGTGTGGAGGTTTCATCAGCTCAATCAGTACTTAAGAGCCCATGGACATAAGGAACAGACAACACATACTTTGCATCATTACCTGTACATTGTCTCAGCCTCAACATCACCAAACCAGACTCGAAGATTTGGAGTGAAGTTCTGTCCTGTCAGCTCCAGCATGGCCACATCACCCCCACCATTCAACTGCCAGGAAAGAAAGCGGCTACTCAGTCTACAGTATTTTCCTCACTACATACACCAAGCAGTAAAGCAGCTGTGTACTCAACTAAAACCTGTGTTAAATGGTTTTGGGGAGAAAAAAAACTAAATAATTTCATTTAAAAGAAGTGTTATATCCTGGGCATGCTATGAAAGTACAGGACTTTACTTAGAGCTACCCCATGTTACAGTAAGTTACCTCTACCCTAAGCTTTTTTTGCCACTCAGTGTGAACTGTAGCACCCGGAGAGCCTGGGGACTACCCATGTCTGTAACAGCCCTCAGTGTCAAACCAGTCAGTCTTGGGCTCACCTGAAGGCTCTCCACTACTGGAACTGGTGTGACTGGTGAGTGCACAGGCCCCATGCCCTCATAGAAAGTGTACTCCGCTTTGTCTGTGCTGATGATGGTCCAAGAAGCCCCGTCATTGATCATCTCCTTATTGGGCTCTTTTGGACAGGGAGTGGCCTAAAATGGGTAAGGACAGACATCATTATAGCAAGTGTTGCATCCAGTTACCACTCAAACCTGGCTCCTCCATATCTTCCATGTTCTGTTTATTTCTGTTTAGGGTGACCAGTTGACCAGTCAGACAATGAGATGATGTAACCAGTGGGATCAAATCAGCAAAGGGCCATAGAGACCAGTCAGGATGTTTTTAAAGTCTTTCACTCATCCACACTGCAATGGAGTTTTCAGAAGTATATGGCTGTGAGAACGTTTACAAAGGGAGCTGAAAACTTTAAGGTAGTGTGGACAAAAGGTGAAGCTTTTGCCTCTTTTGTGAAAACTAATGTCTCTTTTGAATGAACATGTAGTAGTGTGGACTCTAAGAGGAGACCAGCCTCTCCCTATTGACCAGAATGCAACAAAGAGCGATAGACCATAAGCCAGTCATTCTGGCACCAGAACTCTACCTGCCAAATTAATCTATGTGAGACAGAGTGGCAGTTCTGCTTTATCAGATGTGCTACTGCCTCTATCAAACTTGATCTTACAGTCAATCTTGAATGTATCATTCGGCTAAACGTGGAAAGCTTGCAATCTCATTTTCTTTCCATTTATTTGTGTAAACATACAGTTTACTAGCCACTATTACAATGCAACATGTCTTTTAGGTTCCAGAGAGGTGATGCCACTACACTTATTAAACTGAAATGTAGATTATGGCCATGCTCAAGGGCACCATAAAGGCGGGGCAGTTAAGATGGTTCCAAGGGCTTCTTGGTAACAGTGACAATACTGTAGGTGAGAGTGAGAGGGGCCCTAAGAAACTTGAAACATAATTCAATCAATCTTGGTTGGGGGTCCAGTATGATATGCTTCCATGGGGCCCAAAATTCGTAACGGCCCCCCTGCCCATGCTGCTGATGGCAAACAATCCCAGAATAAACCATTTTCTGGCCTTCACTGCATGAGGGGAGAAGCCAAAGAACAGTAAAAACAGCAGTAATGGAGTGCTAGAGGGGCAGGTGTTATGTAGACTTAAGGAGGCACTACTGAAAAAGAAAAGCAGTATGAAGTCAGACGCTAGAGGTATGCATTAGTGAGCTGGCAGCATAGCACTACAGTGACCTGAGGAACTTACCTGGAACTGGATGATCCTCTCTTGGGACAGGCACAGATACATCCTCTCTGTATCCTTCAGGTAAAAGGCGCACTTGTGGAGCTGCGACACGGGGTCATCAGCATCAAGCAATGCTGTCTGCTTGTCCACTTTGCGGATTATCTGTCAGACAGTGTACATGTACACAAACACAGGCAAGACAAGGCCGGCATGACAAGGCAGCTAATATTTGCTCTGAATGGTGGGGGGAGGGGGGACAAAGGAGGAGCAACAGGGAGGACCAAAAGACAGGCAAGATGGACAGTACCAGGCGTGGGAGTGCCATGCCCGTGACAGAGCACACCAACTTCACGGTCTGGCCATAATGGATGTAGCCGTCCCTCACTGTGAACTCCTCTCCCTCAGACTCTTCATCATCCACTGTGGAGAGAAAAAAGAAAGAACAGCACCCTGGCTTACTCATCTTGCTGATATAGGCAGACACTGATATAAACCAGCATCTATAATTACTGGTATTAACTGCAAGGTGCAGCTTTACCTGAACTGAAAATCACGTTTTACTGTGTTCTGCACTGATCTTGTTTAGGTAATTTTTGAATATTTGTGTATCAGAACCTTGTAGCCTTCGCTGGTTAGCAGGGAACATTTGGGAAATGCACACCTGGTTTTAATAAATGAGAAGTTTAAAAAGACGAGTATTTTCTTATTTGGGTTCTCTATGTTAAATCCCTCTAAGCAGTTTCATAGTGAAAGACTTATTACTAGATGCTTTCAAAACAATAAACATGAATCCTTGGAAAGTGCGATCTCTCCCCCCATCCAATACCCGCTCCTGCTAGCTCCTCAAATCACTCTCCTTTACAGTGACTTGCGTCTATGCAATCAGATTAAAGAGAGTTAGCGAACAGTCAGTAAAGACTTTGTTCAGCATACTGGTATGTTTTGTGGTGCGTCATGAAGAAACCTAAGTGTGCCGATCTTGTAAGTATGTGTATTTATGCCTTTGCACTATAAACAGTAAGTATGATACCCGTGTAATGTTTTGCTGTGGATTGCGTGTAGTTGAATCTAACCCCAAGAGTCGCATAAATTGTTGATTCCCATGTCTTTGTCACTGCTAGTTTGCACTGGCAGCAAGCTGTTAAGTTCAAAAGCAGACCTTAAAGCAATATCACCTAATTCTAAATAATGACCCAAAAGCTTGCCTCAGTAAGTAGTGATGTTACAAAAACTAAAACTAATTAACTAGCAATTCTATGCTTACAAAATAATACTTAATCAAGATATGTAGAATACTGTAGATATAAAAGAAACAATCATTATAGAAAAAGTGTTTTTAAAAAAAATACTTTAATAATTTAATAATTAAAGTAATTTAATAATTTTAATACTTTAATAGTTAAGTGCAAATGAACGTTTATCACTTCAGTCACACTACCACAAAATAGAAAAAATACCTGTTGTACGAAAGGTATCTTTGCAAAGTTTGCAAATTACAGTAAACTGGCCCATGTCAGATTTCGCAAACCTAAACCGTTTCCACACAAGCAAAGTAGAACATTTTTTAGAACCAATTCTTGCTCATTAGCCATGTCACACACTATTCTGCAGCCCAGCCTACTCATCTGAGTTGTTTACCACGTGACACAGATGTAATATTTTTATCAGTCAGATGATACATAAAATTTGTTTTTGTTTAAAAAAAACAATTTAACTAACTAGTTAGAAAAGAGTATTTAGTTCAAGATCTAAGCTGCAATCCACTGAGACAGATAATTGATAAAGTAATGCAATATACATAGCGCTGTGATGTTATTCAGCCAGAAATTGCTTTATACATTGGTTTGTTTTGTTGTAGTACTTTTGCAGCCAGGGGTGCAGGAATCACGGTGGCAAGAATATTTCATTTAACTTCATTAATCCCCCCAATAAACAGACCTTAATATTCAAATTATTAAGTTGTCCCCCCTGTTTCAAACTTTCTCCTACCCTGCTGTTGCAGCCTCCGAACACACAGGAATCCTGTGATAGGTGCTCACCAGTTTATTCTGTCATTATAATAACAGCATTAAATTTGAAGATCAGACTAGCTGCACTTGTGCCTACTCAACTGCATGACAGCTCATGTTTGTGATGTGCCATTTGCCCCACTTGTAAATCACTTTGGATAAAAGTGTCAGCTAAAAAAAAAGTAAATTTAAATGTAATGTAGTATCACAGTTATCACAATAACCTTGAAAGGTGTATCGTGGATACAACTGCAACCAGTTATGATAAGATACCTCCTATGAAAAGTTTGAAAAAGATCTGAAATACTTTTTGAGTGATCATGCTAATCAAATGAGTGCCTGCGACTACTCCTCTCTTTGCTAACACTATGTGGTGTTGCTTCAGTTTTGGAGTGATTTGTCTCAATAGCCATCCAATGAATTTACAATTTTTTAACATCCGTCAAATATTTTGAGTTATCGCACTAATTAATTCAAGTGTTTTAGGCTACACATCTCTCTGGTACCTCTATGAGGTGCTGCTTCAATTTTGGAGAGATTTATCTCAAAATTAGAAAAGTTCCAAATCTTCACCCCTCCAACATGTTTGTAAAGTTCGAAATCAATCCTTCGTACTTCGTAGTTATCACGCTAAAAAGCATTACTGTCTGTGGCAGGCTGGTCCCATAACCATCCAAGACAGAGCATGAAATCTATTTTGAGGGCAGTTCCCCCCCCGCCCCCCAAAATGGTTGGTCGAACATTTCTGATGCTGTAGCTAGGACAACAGCATGACTCACGGAGGTGGATGTAGAAGGCCCCCCATTGTTGAGAGCTGGCATGGAAGTTGCCCCCTTCCACATGAAGGTAGCGGGTACTGACAGTCTGAGAACGCAGGCGGTTGAAGAGCGCTACTTTGGTCCCTGATGCAATGCATACTGTGCAAACAAAGCAAGAAAAGACAAGATGTTATACTTCTCCTTGCAGACATTTTAATGTTAACTTTTGCCAAGAGCATTGCAAGGACAAGAGATTTACGGCTTTTAAATTTAAATGCTATGCCCATCCCCACCTTTCCTGAATACCACGAAGGTAATCTTTTACACTCCACAAGCTTGTAAGCTGCAGCATCCTCTGCAAATGGAGTGAAGAATGTAACGTTCATTCCCACCCCCTAATTAACACTCACGGTCTCTGTCCCCCACATTAACACTCGCAGTCTGCATCACCCACATTAACACTCACAGTCTGCATTCTTCAGAGACTGCTTCTTCTTGGAGGGTTTGGATATGACCTTGATTCTTTTGCTGAGGAACACGCCAATGTCTGCGCTGTTGCCATAGAACATCTTGACTGACAACATGAAGTGCTTTCTTTTGTCCGAGTCTGATATGTACAAAGTTTTGGCTGTGCAATAATTCTATAGAAGGTGGGGGAAAATAGGAAAATAAAAGATTGAGGAGAACAAAGTTAGAACATGTAAAAAAACAAAAAATAGTGTCAGTATCTCTCATTTCACACAAAACATTGTGTGTGTTTTTCAGTGTGTACACCTTTCCCTCCAGGTTAAGCTGCTGCATCTCTTGATCGCTGTTCCCAATGCCTATAAAAGCACAAGGCTGGGCCTCCTGCTCCGAGCTCCCATCTCGCTCCATTTGCTCCTTCTTTTGCTTCCAGCCACTGCCCATGAGGTACACACAGGGAGGTGGGCAGAAGAACCTGGAGATACCAGAAACAGTGATTCTGTAGACTTGTATCTAGGCAGACATATTGACATTATAATGCCTTCATGCATGTAAAGCAGGGGTCTCCAGCTGCCCCCCACGCAACTAATTTCATCAGGGGTAGTGGACCTTAGCTTTGCATTGCTTATAGAATTTGACCCTCAAGAGAAATAGCGTGGGACCCCCTAACAACACCTCACTAGTAGAGGAACTAAATTGATTCTTTGTTCGCTTTGATATAAAAGCAACACAAACGGACATGAAACTTCCACCAGTCCTTAACAACCACAGCATTCTCACTGTGCAGGAACTTGAAGTGAGACATGTGTTTAGGTCTCCGATTGTCATTAGCACAGACAGAGAACCTGGTAAGGGTACTCAAGTAATGTGCTGTCCAGCTCCCAGAGGTCTTCACCAAGATCATTAATTTGTCCCTCTCACAAGCCAATATTACCTGAACTCAACCACCATCATTACGGACATGAAAAAGGTAGTTGTTAACTGTCTCAACGACTACCGACCAGTGGCTTTAACTCCAGTTCTAATGAAGTGCTTTCAGAGACTTGTCTTACAGCACGTCAAAGTCAGCCCACCATACCACAGTTCGCTTACAGGTCTATGGAAGATGCCATTGATATAGCTCTCCACACGGCACAATCTCACCTTGAACACCAGGGGATCTACATGAGTATGCTATTTATATAATATTTTTTTCTGCATTTAATACAATCATCCCATCCCTTACAAAATTGTCTGACTTAAGCCCCTCTCCATACATCTGCTGTTGGATACAGGACTTTCTCACAAATCATCCTCAAATGGCTAAGACCATCCTGCGTTCGATTATCTCTCTCCAACTCTGAAGTCGGATAAAAACGTCATGAAAAACGTCACTTCCTGTTGGAAACAAACCTCCTTTCTGATATTGATGTCGGAGAGAATTTTGCTGTCCGAGATTCCCATGTCGTCATTTCAACATGGTAGCTTACAGTCAACAGTAATTATATTTTATAAATATTTAAAAATGTTTATTTTGTTAATTGTATTAATAGTAATAAATGTACTTGCATATGGCTGATTTAGAGAATACTATATCATGACCGTAAACAGTATCCTAGCATGCAATATCAGATTTTTACTAGACTTGTTAGTGTCTTTTGTTTGTTTATAGTTTGTTTGCCTCTTGAAAAAAGAATATTGCTATGGATCTACAAAAATATTATAAAGCTTTTAATGTGGTTTGATTAGTTCTTATTTCTTGTTTGTTTGTCGGCCGGAAAAAAGAATCTCGCTCCAAATCTGCTAAAATATAAACCACTTAACAACAGTCAGACGTGACATTATGCGTCTCGGAATTTGCGACTTTGTAATTGAACGCACGAATCAGTTCCCACCTTTCAAGCACCCTTATGCTTGGCACAGATTCCCTTCAGGGATGCCTGCTGAGTGCATTACTTTATACTCTTTACACGCATTACTGCATTCCCACTTATCCCAAAAAATACCATAATTGACTTTGTGGATGGCGTACTGTGGTTGGGCTAATCCCAGGAGATGAGACTGCATACAAGAATGATGTCCAGTGCATAGTAGCAGCATAGTGTTCAGTGAACAACCTGGTACTGAACACCTCAACAACAAAATTACCAGTGTCAACCCAGCCCCACTCTATATCAATTTCTTATAGGAACCCACATCTGTGAAAATGTCTTTGTAACTATCAATACCCCCACAGCATTCAAGAACTCAGGAGGCTATATTTCCTGAGGATACTCAAGAAAAACATCTTGGTGGAGAAGTTGCTGATGTCCTATTGCTTCTCCATCAAGAGTGAGCAGGCATACTGTATTTCAGCATTGTACACTGGTTGTTCAGCAACAGACTGGCACCTTCTCCTATTAAGCTGCTATATTTAATTCAATTTAAGACTTCTTACATTTATTGTGTGTTGTTACTGTGGCTATTTGTTCAGTTGGCGCTTATCAGGAGAAGCACATTTTAAATTAATTGTATGTGGTGAAATGACAATAAAGGCTATTCTATTCTATAAGCTTCTAAAGCATGTTCATTTCACAAGTTTTACCAGTAGGTGGTAGCACCACACACACGATGGCCATCTGAAAGAGCACTTAAAAAATGAATATACAGCTCAGTGCTTCATTGATCACACCTTCAGACTCAACTGCTGACACCACTTATCCAGGTTAAAATCTCTGGGATAACACTAGGATGATACTGCCCACAAACAGACACCATACTCTGCACCTGTCCAATTCTGTACTATTGGTTTTTCTTTCTGGGTGCCTATGAGGAACATATCCAGGGTCTGAGGATGATTAGCCCACTATAACTTGTAGGAGTAAACTAGGAGTAAAGATGTTTATCATTGCATATCCCATCTTGCCCTCCTTTGACACACAAACACACGCACATACCCAGTCACAGGTTGTTATAAAACTCCTCATTTTTTGAACCCCAAAATGTGAAAATAACATGTGCATATAATTTTATAATGTAATATAAACAAGTACCCCCCCCCAACACACACACACACACAGACGCCTGGATCCAATCACGAGGTCACACCATTTATCCAACGCCCCTGGAACATTGGGTTAAAGGGCCTCACTCAAGGTAGATGTCACCATTCTGCTGAGCTTGGGGCTCAAAAATAGCTGTAAAAATCATAGACGAAAATGTGACAAAGGGAGCAGAGGTGCTGGACTTCTAAAACTTACCTCTTCTCATTTCCATAGGATTTCTGTGCGACTTTGGCATGCAGGATTAGGACTGTCTGATCACCTCGTTCCCTCAAGTAGTTCCGCATAGCTTCCCTGCATAGTGCACAAATAAAGGTCATGGGGCATACAAATGCAACCACTATGAGCATTACTACTGTGGCTACAATACCATAAAATTCAGCACTGGATCTCAAGAGAACTATAACTGAACTTTGAGGTGAAGGAATGAGAAGCTATTAGTAAGAAGGACTAATATCAAAATGATTAAACTGACAGTGGGGGGGGGGGGGACATTTGTGTTCACCAAGAAAGAATTCTAATTCCTTGGTATTGTGTAACTAGCTGTAATTGTGCTTTCACTACTAAAGGTTTTTTTTGCCAGTCACCTCAGACATCTCTGCACACTACTGAACTTTTGAGAACAATATATGTCACAAAAAGTTTGCAGAACATAGAGAGGATGTGCTTAGGAGGGTTGTCCAGATGCAACACCCAATATCATGTGACTCAGCAATACTGGGGTGGGCTCAGCCTCACAATTAAATGTTTCAATTAGAGCTGGGTGGTACATCAAATTTATCGATTAATTCAAATAGTTTGTTCACGGCAATGCGCAAATAGAAAATCAGGTTTCACTTTAAACTGACTAACATGGAGCCCGTGAAGTTTGCAAATTTTTTAAATATGAATGAGATTTTTGTCCATAAATGACAGCATGCCAGATGGCTCTCTGTCAAGCCCCCCCTGCCCCCTTGGACACCAAGACATGGAGCAAGATGGCAGCACATGCATCCACAAAAAAGGAGATTGCCTCGAAAACTGCCAGCATCTGCAGCTGTTTGGAAGTGGTTTGATTACACTGGAAAACAAAGATTTTGCTACTTGAGTAAAAAGAGCTGTTTTATACTAAATTGAGTGTGCCGATTCCAAATCTGCACATCTATCTTAAGTTATACAAAAATTCATGCATAATAACTTATATGAACCGGATAAAACAAGAAGAGCATATACTGTACTAAACACATCTAAGGACATTTATCAAAACAGTAATTTGTAAAGTAAGGAAATAAATGTATCTGTAACTGTACATGTGTAAAGTTAAAAAAAACAATGTGTCCTGCCCCGATCTTCTGCTCCTTCCGTGTGCCACGCCCCCTCATTAACCCCGTGTGGAATCCCCATGTGATCAGCTGTTTCTGGTTGTTGTCATTAGTCCTCTGTATTTAGTCCGCGTTTCAGTTTGTTTCCCCAGTCCGTTCATTGTATTGTCCGTCTGCGTTTTGCCTGCCTTACCTGTAATTAAACCCCGTATTCCCTGATACCCTGACGTCTGCGCCTTTATCTCCATTCCGTCCTTGCTCGGCACAACAATATTACTATAATTAAATGTATTAATGGTTTATTATTAATATTAAAATAATTAATAAGAAATCTATTTTTAAATGTATTTTATTATATAATAATTACTGCTACTGTCTATCATTGTCTAAATGTATTTTTACTGTCTAAATATATGTATTCAGTTAAAGTGTAAACATGCACGATGCTATCACAGCGAATGCGAGGCTGAGACTGAAGCGTTACCCTTTGTTTCCGCTGAGAGATGTGCCGCGTGACTCATTTCCCCACGCGTACAAGTTCTTAGGTCCGCGTTCACGGTTTGACTTCTGAGATTCAGATTGAGTACTAGGTAATTTTTTTACGAACTGGTTTGTTCGACTTTTAAGAAATTAGAGTTCTAATGAGTTCAAGAACTGAGGTACCACTGTATTTCACAGAAAAGATTGGGCAGGTCCGCATGCTTTTCGGTACCTATGGGAGAAATTTGGATCAAGAAAAACTGATGCCAAAAAAAGCAGGAATTTTTGTCGGACCCGAAATTCACGAAGTCATTCGTGATACCACTTTCAGAACATTACTCAATCCACTTGAACTTGCTGCTTGGGATGCATTTGTGCTAGTAGTGTAAAACTTTCTGTGAAATGAGCGAGCTGAAAACTATGTTTAACTCAACAACATACTGACAAGCATATCAGAAACTCGGTAGCTGGATGTCTCTAAAAATGCACTTTTTACACTCCCATCTGGATTTCTTTCCACCAAATTTGGGTGATGTAAGCGATCAACATGGAGAGAGATTCCATCAAGATATTTTGCTCATGGAAACAAGATATCAAGGTCACTTTAATCCCAACATGATGCATGACTACTGTTTGTTTCTCCAACGGGATACTACTACCATTCACAAACGCAAAAGCAAATGCTTTAAGCACTTTTGAACACTATTCAATAAGCCCAAGTTGAATCTTTAGCAGTTTTGTTACTCTGAATGCATCAATGGGTTGATGATGATGTACCAAGTTTTAGTACAGATTAATTTTTAAACGAGTTGACTTAACTTTAAATCCTGACATGCTACAATAAATCTGACTTCAGATTTGGAATCAGCACACTCGATATAGTATAAGACACAAATTTTGCCATGTAGCAGAATTTTTTTTAAAATTTATTTTGTTGTCCCGTGTTATCCAAAATACGACATAGAACAAATCTGACAGTATCTGACAGAGGCAAGCAGTCAAGGGGCAGGAGTGTGTAGCTGTACAAAATGAACAAGCTAGCGGCAGCCAATGAACATCAGCGAAAAAAAAATATACATACGATAATGGAAAGAAATTACAGATGGGTGACTTAATATCTCCAAAGATATGGTACATACATACATTGGAAATAAATGGGTTCATTCAGGTGCTAAATAAAATGGAGCCCAGATATGAACTACCAAGCCAAAAGTATTTTACCGAATAGCCCGACCCATCTCTACAGCAGTACATGTGAAAAAGTGTGTTGTTAAACTTATGGCTCAGTTAAAAAATTTACATAGTAAAAATCGTAAAGATTTGATTTTTATCACCGAGCCCTAGTTTCAATAGTTTTTTTTTTTTATTGTGTGGCTTTCAAAGGATCTGTAGTACAATGCCAAAAACAGCTCTCCGGTACTCTACACTTAGGCAACAGGAATATACGCACAGACTGACCTCACCAAACAGAATACTTGGGCTAGATATTGGCACAGCTGCCCTGATTCGATTTGATTCCAATTCACAAGCTAATGATTTCATTCAATCCAATTCAACATTAATCCAAAAGGAGTGAGATATAAAATACTATATAGCAGCTTTCCATATTTGAATTGATGTTTAAAAAGCTCTAAATGGAACATAAATTTACAAATGCAGTTACTGCAAGCAAATTGTGAAGACCATTACAGAAAAGCCGAAGGCTTGTATATCAAAATCTTTTTATTTTACAAATATATGGGTATAGTTCCTTAACAGAGAAACCAAATAAAAAATTACATTTAATTAAGAACAACTGAAAATAAAAATGGGCAACTCAAAGTGCCATGTTTCAGGACTAACTTAAAGATGTGACCAAACATAAATTGAAGTTTTTTTTTTGGGGGGGGGGGGCCAGGGTTGTGAGCATAAAATCATACAATCGATATTTTCCCACCCCTATTGAATACCCAATGTTAGACTCCTCACCCCCACCAAAACACACACCACCATTACCTACTCCACTGATGATGCGAACCACTGAGTCCATTATGTAATTTATTGTTTTGTGGGTGGTATTAAACACAGTAAAACCTTGGATTGCAAGTAACTTGGTCTGCGAGTGTTTTGCAAAACGAGCAAAATTTTAAAATAAACTTGATAGACAAGCAAGGTCTTGCAATACAAATATTACGTATACGCTTTGTCTGCCAAGTGTCACATAATCACAACTGAGCCGATGGTTCTTCTTTCTCTCTCGCTGTGAGATTGTGGGTAATCGTCTCCCAGACTCGGTCTCAGTCGGCGTCCCTCACTCATATAGTCAAAATATAGTAGAAAAGTGCCATCTGAATAAGGCCGTAGCAGTGCGAGCGATGAATCTGTCCACATGTCCACATTTCCACGAAATTGAAAAGGAGGCAAAAGCAGCTGTCATTCAATAGGTTCCTTGTTAAAGTCACACAAAAAGAAAGATTCCAGTGAGCCAACAGATAGCAGTGATTCCTTTAGTTATAGTGAAAGTTGTCCTACAAAATAATCCTCTTCTCCTCTCTCTCGTCTCCCTCACACCATCCATGATTCTTTTCAAAGGTAAAGTGCAGGTTAATTTGTTTTATGTATTTTTAAGTTATATTTTGTATTAACCATTTTCCATTATTTCCTATGGGAAAATTCGCTTTGATATACGAGTACTTTGAATTACAAGCACGTTTCCAGAACGAATTATGTTCGCAAACCAAGGTACCACTGTATTTCATTACATCTGTAACACAGCAGGTGGTTTGCAGAAACCTAAACCAAAGCCACATCTAGACTGAGCAGTAAGTCAATATCATAGCACAGAGTAAAGCCTCATGTCAGCATACTTTTTGCCGCACGTGTATTATGTTTATGTGCATCTTTAGTCACTGAAAAATCCAATTTACCATATAAATGTAGTACACTATGAACCAACTTAAATCCTTAGAGGTCCTTCGACAAGGAGTCTAAGATATCAATGAACAAAACACATTATTTTAATAATCATTTTAACATAACTATCAGTTTACTCACAGTTGGGGTAAATAAAAATGTGGATTGGGCACAAGTTTTAAAGCATCACCAGCAGAGATATAGCAGTCAGAGGTTTAAGCAGCAATAACTCAAGCAAAGTGAACAGAAAGTGAAGATGAAAGCTTTGACAACACATCCACCAAGACAGACAGTTAGACAACAGCCGCCACTCATACTGAAATCCACCTTCATTGGTGGGGACTTTACAAGTTACACATTCTGAGATTCTAGGGTTTTCTATTGCATGTCAGGCCAACTAGAAAATAGGAGGAGGGGGAAAAATAAAAACCCCCCTGACCCCTTCATGGCCTGGCAATCTGTGGGGGTCCTTTTGGCGAGTCAGCTTTCAGAGTGAGAATCATTAACATGGGGGGGGGGGGGGCACAGACAGGCATCTGTCCTCCAGTTATCACAATATCTCATACAACAATGTCTACATTACAGTGGTAAGGTAGCACTTCTTTAACACAGCATGTAGGAGTATGGAATAGTGTAGTGCAAAATAAAACCCTGGGTTCCTGTAAATCAGAGCTAGATAAGATTTTAACATTTTCTATTAGTTAAGTTCCCCCCAAACGAGCTTGATGGGCCGAATGGCCTCCTTTTGTTTGTAAATTTCTTATGTTCTTATTTGTCTCAATTTTCTTACTTGTGCGACACTTTCAACAAAAGTGTCTGCTAAATAAATGTAAACGAAAATGTAGTGTGGTTTCATGATTCTTGTGATACCTGTGAAATGTTTATCTTGGATACAACTGTAACCGGTGACAATAAAATAGTCATATCGCCCACCACTAGTAGACCCAAATCAACTTGGAGCCATAACTTACACCAATATACTAAAAAAAAGCTTTTGATTATGTCTAATTATGCATGGATGTTTAATGAGGGCACCAAAACTGTAAAGCTTAAGCAGCTACAAAAATCAGTTTTACGATACATCTACAGACTAAATTTGGGTTTAGTGCTGTGATACATTGGGTTGTGGGAGCAAAAATTCCAAATCACCACCCATCAAAAAAAAGAAGAAACTTGTGTTTTGTGTGATTTTTTTTTGTCTGCAGCATGAGCAGAGGCCTACCTGGTCAGGCGTTGTGGTTGAGGACGTTCCCCAAACTTCCTACAGAGGAAAAAAATAAATAAATCATGTATGTATACACCATGAATATGCAGAGAGACAGGTTCTCTTAAAAAAAAAACTCATTCAAGTGCTGAAGTCCTGCCCTCTGTGAACAACCAGCCACATTTGTGTCATGGCCAAAACACATTTGACCAGCAATGATGTACTACAGCAGCATGATAATAAACATAGCAGTATGTCAGAGTAATACAGAGGGTTTCAATTTAACAGTGGGACTCAATTCTACAGTTCAGGCAGTATGTGGATACAGAAGTGCACAGATCTCACCCTCAGCCCTTGAAATACAACATTTTTAAAGCAGCAGATTCTCAGCAACTAGGTTTTAATTATTCTAAATGTAAAGATGCTGAAGTGAGCTTTAAAAACACCAGCACGTCTTTCCACTTTCATGTCAGAAAGGACATAGCTTGTTTACAGATATTAGGTGTAAACAAACCCAAAATAGACCACAGGATAAGAAAGTGTGCAGTACAAAAAACATGGTACATATTCCACTCTGATAGTTTAAGTGTGAAGTAGGCTTGGGCGGTAATACGGTAATATGGTATACCGCGGGATCTAAAAATAGCAACGGTATCAGTTTCAATACCGTTTTACCGTCATAAAAACAATGCACTTATATAGGAGACAAAGATTAAATATTAAATATAATTTATTTAATGCCTAACAATGCGTATGCGTGGTTGTCATCACATGACAGCGTGGAGGAGAAATAGAGAGGTGGGGAAAGATGGCGAGTCGAGCACCAAGTGACCTGGGGCCTCATGTATAAACGGTGCTTACGCACAAAAATGTTGCGCATGCCCATTTCCACGCTCAGGTTCGATATGTATAAAAACTAAACTTGGCGTACCGCCACGCACATTCTCACGGCAACCCCAGACAAGGCGTACGCAAGTTTCTGCTCGATTTGGCAAAATGGAGGCACCTACTGGCAAAAGAGTGCTACTGCAGTTTCACTGTGTCATCACGCTGACTTTATCAAATACACCGACATTAATTGTATGCTGTTTACAAATGTACGGCAGCTGATTTTTTTTTTATCAATTTGTAACAATAAAACGGTGCAGAAAATGACCGAACTATTACAACTACCATGGCAGCTCTTGCGTTATTGGAAGACATAGCTTATAATGATGATGATGACTGGCTTCTAAGTCGATTAAGATTTCCAAGAGCAATCTTTTTGGAGCTGTGTGCTAAACATTACAGTATTACAAAAGCAGACGATGAGGAGTTACGCTATAGGCTACCTGTTTCTTTACAAGTTCTGTCCACTCGCGGGTTCTTAGCCACAGGTGCTTTTCAGCGAGAACTTGCGGACCGATCGGGTATTTCTCAGTCAATTCTGAGTCGCGCCATGCCGGCTGTATGGGACGGCATAATTCGCTTGTCACCCAGATATATAAAATTTCCTTACACTGTGGTTGAACAGGCAAAAATTAAAGCGCAATTTGCAGCGATGTCCGGTTTTCCCAACGTAGTCGAAGCTATCGACTGCGCGCACATTGCTATAACCTTCAGTGAACGAATTTGCTTATGTAAATGTAAAGCACTTTCACTCTATTAATGTACTCTATTAATGTATTGGGGGCACCTCTTGTACTGTTGTCTGTAAGAATAAACAAACAGAATAAACGAAAGTAACATCGCATCTGCGCCCTATGCGATATTCATAAACATGCAAGTAATTCAAACAAGTATGGTACGAGAAAAAATCACCCGCGATGACATCGGCGCCCCCCTCACCCGATAAAAGTGTGTCCCCAATCATCGCAGCTACTAGTTGCTCAAAGGGTGTGAGACCGGGAATTCTGCTACCTCCGCCTGTGCTTTTAAGACTCTTACGGTGAGCGGCCGCTCGTTTTTTCACGTCGATTTTAATGTCCGACCACTTCTTTTTAATTTCGGCCACCGTGCGAATTGCGGAACCAAGACTTTTAACTGGCTCCACCAC